GAGGAAACCGAAGCACAGAGAGGTAAAGTCATTTCTCAAGGATCATGCAGCTTTCACCTATACTATGTTTGAAGACATGAGAACACCAGGCAGAACACACACTATCCAACAGAAACAAAACGGTAGCAGCGCAGGTAAGGGGAAGGGACAACCAGGCATGAAGACCCAGGAGGGCCTGACGGCCAGTGGGAAAGACAGCTTTGACACCTGTGGGTCTTGACTCTGTGCCTGGCAGTCCTGCTCGAAAACATAAGTGGAACCTAAAAATAGGTGCCCAACCCTTTTTGGCACTGAGGACCCCTTTGGGTGGACCCCATGCCTTGAAACCCGGGGGCTCTGAAACTGAGGCCAATTCAAAGAGGCAGAAAGGAGCTTCTGGGATTCAGGGAACGTGCTGGGGAAAGGTCAGGCCATGCCCCTTCCAAGGACATTCCTTCCACGCGTCCAGTCCCTTGCCCCTTGTGTTGTTTGGCCTCAGCCATCGGGGCCCCTACAGCACCCCAGCCTGGGAAGCTGACTCCAGCAAAGCCTGGGCATGCCCAGCTTGGCACAGCCAAGCCAAGCGCTGCAGCAGCTGCGTCCCCAAGCTCTACGTGCTCCTGGAATGCTGGGGACCCCGCATCCTGCTCTGTCCCCTCACCTCAGGCCCTGTGCAGCAGCACACCAGTCTCCAAGATGACAGTCACAATATGCTAAGAACACCTGGTAAGTCAGTAAGCCCAGGGCATATTGTTACCCTAAATCACAGATAAGACCGCTGAGGCTTGGAAAAGGTGGCAGCTGGTCTAAGGTCTTACAGCTGGACAAGCAGGGGCAGCACCAGGACTCACACCCACATCCTCTCTGTTCTAGTCCCTTCCCCAGGCCCAGGATGCCCCAGGCAGAGAGAAGGGTGACCCCAACTCCATGCAAACTGCCTGCAGGACTCAGCCCCACCCAGGCCTGACCTCCAAGGAAGTACCAGAATAGGATAGGAACCGAGATTAGAGAGTTTCCCCAGGAAACAGCCCAGGCCCTGCCCTGTGACCAGATAACACTGGGGGCTCCAGCAGGGGCTGGGCCTCTGCAGAGAGCTCCTCATCAGCACCCTGAAGGCACAGAGCCCACGGCCTGAGGTTGGATCTGGCTCTGGCCCCTCCTTGGCTGGGTGAGCTGGCAGTCAGCACCCCACTCCTGGCCTCGGTTTTCCTATCTGTAAAGTGGATGCCTTGGGTGAGTAGGTCAGAGTACTTGGCGTGGCCCTGGCACTGTGGTTTCCGGGAGGAGTAGGCAGCACACAAGGTGCTGTGCCTGCCTAGTCTGAGGTGCCTGCCAGGGTTGCCAGGGACAAACAGGAAACAGATGAAAATAACTCAGCAGGAAGCCAGGCTGTCAGTCTCGTGGAGGAGAAAACGGAACTGCCATCCCACAGGCTGCTCCCTCTTGCAGCTCACATGCTATCCTGCTCTTGTCCCTCCAGACTCTCCATCAGAACTCACCCTACCTCTAGTCCACCTCAGCCAAACACACAAATTCGACTTTGTCCTACCTCTGCTCTAACACCTCCTGTGGTTCCCCACTGACCTCAGGAAAACGTCTAAGATCCTTCTGCCTAATGTCCTCAATACCTTCAGCCTCACACACTTTATAAACCAGAAGCAGCCAAATCTTGTTCCCTCAAATACAACTCCATTCAATGTTTCTGACCTGTGCACATGACATCTCCTCTGCCTCAATGTCTTTCCCTTCTAGTTGCCATCAAACTCTTACACTTCCCTCAAAGCCTCAGCTGCAGTGGCTTCTTCCACAAAGCTGTCCCTGTGACCCTCTTCTGAGCCTACCCAAGTCCTTCCCTCTACCCTGCTTTGACCCCACAGGGTTTGGGATATCTCTCTCCACCTGGGTCTTCCACCCAGGCCTCGCTGTCCCTGCTGGCTCTCACCGTCACGAACAACACAGTCCTTGAGCTTCTCCAAGCCCTCGGCAAAGCGGGCCACGTCGACCAGGAGTTGCGAGATGTCCTCCACGGCATCAGGGCAGGGCCCCTCGAAGGGTGGTTCAGCAGGGCTGGCTGCTGTCAGTGGGCTTCGGTGGCCCCGGCCTAGAGTCCAGGAACTGGCACCGGAGAGAGGGAAGCCAGCCGCGCTGGCATGGCGGCTGAGGCTTGTGGGCCTCTTGAGTGTGCCTGTGACCTTGGCATTGGAAGCCCCGCTCACTGGGTCCAGGGTGGGTCCCAGGTACACAGCATCAGCCCCATCTTTCCTGGGCAGCTCCTGGTGGGTGGGGTGGGGTGGGGTGGGGTGGGGGGTAAGGCAGGTACTCTGGCCCAGGTACTATCTCAGTTTCCCCAGAAGTGTAATGGGGCTCTGGGGGTCTTCAGCCTGACCCCATGGGGGTCAAAGACTAGAGGTCAGAAAGCTGAGATTTGGGGCCATGCTCCTCTCATACCTATTACCCAACATCCTCTCCCCAGAGCTTTCACAAACAACCGTCAGCCTAAACCACAGCCAGGGGCGGGGCCAGCAGGGGCGCCGGTACCCCACTTCCTGGTGAGGCACAGAGAGCAAGGAGAGGCTGCTGGGCCTTATAGCCCATCTCAGGCCGTGGCAGACACACCTATTCCCTGGTAAAGACACCGCTGTTGATTCCTGTACCCTAAGGGTCCTGGAGACCCTCGAGTCCCACAGACACTCCCAAACTGTGCACACTCCCGGGGCCCTGGAGGCCCTACCCTCGGGGGTCCTAGTGAATGCTCTGCCACACCCAGGACCTCCCGCCCAACGATGTGCCCTAGTTCTCTGAGCCCTGTCCTACAGAGTCCAGAACCAAATGCCGTTCCCACCCTAGCACCCTACCCCGCTCCCTGGGTCCTGCAGCCAGCCCTGGAGGAGACAGCGGAGGTAGTGGCCATCCCAAAAAACTCCGACCATGAGTTGAACACCAGGGTCCTGGCCGGTCCTGTGTGGCTCCCGCAGTCCTGCCTGGTGGGGGCTGTAGCCAGCTTGAGCCCCCACTGCAGGCCCGGCATGCTGTTGCTGCTGGGCCCCCGATCGCTGCCCAAGCAGAGGGCGCACCCTTGTCCCGCTGTTGCTCCAAGGTCCCCACCCTCTCCTCCTACCCGAAGAGGGTGACTTACCCCTGAGGGCTGCGGGCTGGGGCTTCCCGCCCGGTTCTTTTTCGAGATGGAAGGGGTTTTCATGAGCTCGCGCTTCTTCCTGGAGAACATGGTGGGGCCAGCAGAGCAGCCTAGGCAGGCGGGCGGAGATAGAGCAGGCCGGGGTCGCAGCGATGCAGCTCTAGGAGCTGACCACCTCAGGACCACACAGACACCAGCCACCTCTGTCCCCAGCTGTCAGGGCCACGTGACAGGCCCAGCTCTCATTGGCAGACCCTCCCCCCACAGGAAAAGGCCTCCGGAGGTGATGACGCAGACCCACACCCCAACCCTCTGAGGCCTCAGCCTGCCACTCCACAGAGTGGGCTTGAAGGTGGGGTCCCAAGCCCCGCCCCTGGCCCAGGCCCCACCCCCAGCTTCCACTTTCAGGAGCTCTGCATGTGTATTGGACTGGGCGCCCCCTTCTGGCACAGGTGGGCACAGAGAGGCACATGGCTGACTGCACAGATCCTCAGACACACCCGAGTGCAAGCAGGGGAACACTGACACGGGCATGAACATGCCCAGGACACTGACGCGCAGGCATGATGATGCGGGGACACAGACATGCAGGGACACAGAAATGCAGGGACACTGAAATGCAGGGACACGGATGCTCAAGGATGCAGGGACACTGACATGTGTGTACAATGACACACAGGGACACTGAACCACAGGGACACTGATGCACACACATGCTCAGATTCCATAAAGCTCTGCAGATGAAATGGATAACCTGGAGCTTTGCACCCAGACCTGGGACACAGACACCCTCCCAGTCCCCTTGTCCTCTCACAGGCGTGCCCGCCCTACGTCCCCTGGCAACCCCTCACCCTTGCAGACCCCAGGGCCTAAGCTACGCAGGGGCAGGTCACCGTTCAGCGTGGCGTTTGTGCTGGTCTCAGCTCAGCTCCCTACCCCCATCCCCCACTCTGCCTTCCAGGGACGCACGGGCTGACCAAACACATGCTGGGCAGCAGGGCTGATAAAACTCATGAGGCCACCTCCTCACATCCTGGTATAAGCCATGTGTACAGATCCCCACACCCCTCTACCGGCCCTTGAGCCCCGTCCCCTCCCCCATGACCTCCAGTTCACTTGGAGCCCCCCACGCGTACTTCCAGAGGCCCACCCACAATCTCCAACCCCACTACCCAGCACCAGCCCTCACTGACCTGAGGTGGGAGGGGTAGGTCTCCAAGGTACAGGGCACATGGGCTGCAGCCCCTTATGCCAAACCCAGCTCTCCAGGCCCAGGTCCATCTGCAAACCCAGCCTAAAAGTTCCTTGAGGGTCTTCTGTCCACCACTCATTGCTCTGGGGGCCGAGACCAGGTGGTGAGGGCAGACTGGCTCGTGGCAGGCTGCTGGCTTGGTTGCAAAGCCTGAGATCTCTAGGGCCCAGCCACCCTCACTGGGCTCCTCTAAAGCTGCCCCAGACATCCCCAAGCCCCAACCTCATGCCCCCTGCATGGCCAGGCGCTCACTCGCACTGCCCTCAGGCCACATGGACACTCTTATGAAGCCCACTTGTGTGCAGAGCCCCCCACTACCCAGGCCCACCAGAGGCCTTCACAGCTGGGGGTCCAGTCAGCTGTAGCTGGTTCTCCCCTGTGCCCTATGAGTTGCATGTGTGCACATACCTATTCATGCACACACTCAGGCTGGATCCAGACACGAGCACAGAGCCATCTGTGGACGCACATGTAGACTGGCACACGGACACACGCACACATGGTTTCACAGGAGGACTTCTTTTTATTTCCTCCAGGAAAGCACTCCTCTGGGAGTCTAGGAGCCAGTTCCAGGCCTTCTGTCCTGCCTCGTCACACCTAGGGACTCCCACGAGCCCCACAGAGGAGGGAGGCTTATGGCTGCACCTCCGTTGTGCTGGGATCATCCAGGAGCCAGGTGATGGGCTTAGCCCAGGGTCCGCCCCCCACTCCCGCTTTCCAGCGATCCTCCCCCTCCTCTTTCCCCTGATTCTCAGAGAAGTATAGGAAGACCTAGCGGGTGGGTGGCCAGAGGGAATAGGGGAGAGGTCAGCCTAAGGGCCTGGCCCCTAGGCCCGCCATTGCCCCCAGCCCCTTCCCGGTGCTTCGGGCACCTCCTCCAGGGCAGTCTGGCTCACTGAGAAGTCCTCCATGCCTTGCTCTGCCCCTGGAGCAGCTAGCTCTCCAAAGATGTGCGATAGGGATGCAGCACCCTCCTGACAGCAGCTGGAAACGCAGACGACTCTCCTGTGCCTTCCACAGCTTAGCCCCTGGGAATGCAGCTGCTACAAAGACTGCCACTGGCTCAGAGCTTCCCATGGGCACCCGCAGGGTCAGCATGTGGTCAGAACTGAATCTGGTGGTAAAGGGGTGGTGGTGGAGGAGGGTGGTGGTGCTGGTGGTGGTGGAGGGGAGTCACGGTGGAGGGGCTACCGGACATGCCCACAGCCGAACCCAGCCACACAGCTTCCTGCTCCCTTCTGGCCCCACCCTCAACACCAGGCCTCTCTTGACTCCCTACCCAGTACAGGTAACCCCATCTCCTTGTCTTTTACAATGTTCATCCATTCTCCAACCCCTCCTCCCCCAAGGCCCTGCCCCCACATGGCCCTGCCCACTCACCTGGCCCTCCTCTACCTCACCCGTCGCCCCACCCACCCACCAGTACCCAAAAGACTCCAGCCCTTCCAGGTCCTGCCCGGCCCCCTCAACATCTCACCTGGACAGTCCCTGATCCTCCCTCCTCACCTGTTAGAGCCAAGCTGGCCCTGCACCTGGTCTCTCCTTTGGCCCTGCCTGCACCCCCACCCTCCTCCAGCCTGTTCCTGCTGCCCCAACACCTGCCCTTGAGGCCTGGCCCAGCTTACCTGCCCTTGAGGTGCTGCGAGCTTCTCGGGCAGCGGAACCACCCATTCACCACAACGGTCTGGCACGTACAGAGCCTCACATCCCTCCATACTGTCAGGGCCAAGCGCTGCGAGCTCCACCCAGGCCCAGACCACCTACCCTCCGGGCCTGGACCACCCTGCCACTCTGAATGTGTCCAACTGGGCCCAGACCACTCAGTTTCCAGATTTGCCCTGTGTCCTCACACTCGGGCCTGGCATCCTCCTCCAGGGTCAGGACCACCCATCCCATGTGTCCCTCCGCTCTGACAGCCTCTCACTGGGTTCAGCTTCTCCCTCCAGAGCCCGGGTAACTTTGACCCACAGCCCTGGGGTTGGGCACAGGGCCCACCTGTGCAAGACGAGCACCACGGAACGGCACTGCAGCACCGCAGCCGGGAGGCAGTTCCAGAGGAAGCACCTTGCACTGGGGTCCATGCCAGTCGGCTCTCTTGGGAGAGGGCAGGAGTAAGACTCGGTAAGACTGGCCCTGCCCTTCCCAGGCCCCACCCTCGCCCAGGCCTTGGCACACGCACACCAGAAGGGCCACTGCTGGATTCCCCATTGGTGCCACAGCTGTTGCCAGTTTCTGCTTGTTGCCACCACTGTAGGTGCCCGCGGGCTAGACGCATGCTGCTGGAGCCCCAGGCTCGCCAGGCCCAAGCTCACTGTCTGTGGATGTGCCAGGCGGGTGGGGGACAGAATGAATGTGGGAGGACCAATGAAAGTTGAGGGGACCAAAGTGAGCAGAGACCAGAGTGAATGGGTGTGGGGGGTGTCAGAGTGAGCACTGGGGGTCCAGAGTCATTTTGCAGGGATCAATGACCTTTAGGGGACCCGAGTGAACTGTTGGGTGACCAGAGTGAGGGTAGGATCAGGTGGGGGAAGCACGGTGAGTGGGTGGAGCCTCACACTGGGTGGGATCAGAGAGAAGATAGGAATGGAGGGGCGGGCATAAGGATGGGCTAAAGGTAAATAAGGGGGCAGGGCCACAGTGAATGCAAAGTGAGACCTGGCCCAGGGGCAGAAAGGCCCAAAGTCCTCAGCCAGTGGCAGGGTCCTGGACGGACTGGATACGGCCCACTCGGGAGGGAAGGGGCAGGCACAGCTTGGGTAACAGCAGAAAGCGCGGTGGTCCCTGCGTCCGTGGGAGCTGGGAAAGGGCAGGGGTGGGGCCCAGAGAATAGAGAGGGCCAGTGGGACTGGACCGAAGGTATGGCCGACCAGGGCCAGGGTAGGCTGGGGACCAGAGGCCCTGGGAGGGAAGGGGGCAGCAAGTCACCTGGACAGTCCTGGCCTCAGGGATGCCATGCCAGCATGCAAACAGCTCAAGGTGCTCCTGGCCAGTCAGCAGCTCACAGACGGCACCTGACTGAGGACAGCAGCCCATGTTGCAGGGTGCTGCGGCCAGTCCTGGGTCACGCTGCGGGGACAGGTGTTCAGGGAACTAGCTAGGCCTCAGGCATGCTGGGGCAAACACCGGGGCCTCAGGGCCCACCCTGCTCACGACTGGGCCTGTGAGGGTGTGGGGGTTCGAGCCTGCTCCGCCCCCGCCGGGAGGCCCCTTGCTTGTGGCCTGCGGTATAGCCTCGCCCCTGCTGGGCAATGCGTCCCCAGTTGCCATGTGAAACATGGAAGTCTTCCCTGTTCTATTCACACTAGGAGCTCAAAACACTGCGATGACACCCACAGGAGGCGTTCGATGAGGCCTCGATCCCCTTATCCCAGCACTTCTGATTCTGGGTGGATTTCTAAGTTTCTGCAGGTTGCGCTGTGGGCAAGGGAAACCCCTGGGGCAAATGCTGGGGTGTGTGGGGAGGTAGAAGTCCATCACTTAGTAAGGAATGGAGACTGGCACATGGCATGTGTTTAATCAGTCCTGGCACACAGTAGGTAACCTATAGAGGTAATACACAGCAAGTGCTCCTTACATATAGGGACACGAGGTTTCCAACTATTTCCTGCCACATGGGAAGGGGGTACTCAGTCTGGATGCACAGTCAGCCCAAGGTGGAGAGGTTGGCTAGCACACAGTACTTGATAAAGGTTACTGGCACATGTGTGGGCACATAATAGACGCTCAATAATATATATGCTTGTCCTCAGTAGGGGCTTACTAGTATTTTATTACACATAGGAGGGGTCAATAAATGTAAACATGCAGCAGGTGTTTAATGACAGTTTGTTGCCTCAAATTAGGAGCTCAAATGGTGACAACCAGTAGGTGCTCAATAAAAGGCAGCAGGCACACAGAAGGTGTTCAATAAAGGGCAGTGGGCACACAGGAGGGCAACCTCTTACCGCTCCTGTACCAGGACCTCTACCCTGGACTCACCTCACCGGGGGGGCGATGCCCAGGCACAGGCGCTCGACAGCTGGTGTCTTCTGCCAGGGCTGCACCGGGGAGGGGTGCAGGACCCTGAGAAAGGTGAGTGGGCCAGTGGGAGCCCCCACCCAGCACTCGGCACTCACCTTGGTTAGGTCCTGCAGCACTGACATGTCCCTCTGCGTGGCCTCTTCAACCACCCATTCCCACCCACGAGCCACACCCTCATCCTCCTTTCCCAGAGGGTGCAGTGGCCTCAGCTTGGGTCTAAGAACAGAGACATGAGTGGGCCCAAAGCTGGACCCTAGCCCCTGCCACCCTGCCCCAGTCCCCACTGACTGTGGCTGGAGGTGGGTGCGGTGCCATAGCAGAAGTGTGAAGAGGAGGAAGAAGGGCCCCCTGTACCACCATCGCCAAGAGGTTCTTGCCAACTACCACCTGGCACAGGGGTGACTGGAACTACCTGTCTCCTGTGGAAACAGGAAGGAGGGGCTGGGTCCTTGGAGGGCCTTGGTTTCTGAGCCCCTCCCCATCTAAGTCACCTTAGGTTCTTAAGGGACCAAGAACTGCAGAGGCCGCTCAACGGGGGTCTAACTAATACAGAAAACAGTGGTATCACCACCTCCCTTATTTAGGGCTTTAGACTTCTTGTCCTGTAACCCCAGATGGAATGAGCTATTTATGGCCGCTTTTCTGCACCTCTAACTTGACCCAAACTTGGGGCCACCTAAAACCTCCAGTTCTCTTCCTGGGGTCTGCTGTTTGTCCCTGCCCTATGTAACGGATTCTTGGCAGGCACTACCCCACCTGGAGGAAAGTTCTCACCAAAGCGCTCAAAATGGCCTGGTTCTGCACTGTATCAATAGCCCCCCACCCAGGCAGAAGTGGGGAGAGAGAAGAAAAATGTGTTTCAGGATCCAGCCCACCTCCTGCAGCTTCTGCTCAGGAGAAGGGAAAAGGAGGGTGACTCTCAGGGACCAAGGCCGCAGCCCGGCCCCAGCCTGAGGCCCAGCCTTGCAGGGTCCCACCTGGTCAGAGAAGCGCTCGGGCACGAAGGTGGCCATGCTGCCACTGATGCCAGTAAAGAGCTGGAAGCAGGTGAGCGCCACGTGGACCATTCTGGGCACAGAGAAGGAGGCCGAGTACGTGAGTGGCGTGATCAACCAGCTGGGGGGCTACAGGAGTCGCCTGGTAACCACTCAGATGGGGAGCTGAGAAGGCCCAAGAGGAATACAGATCTCTCCCATCTTCTGCACTGCAGACCTCTATCAATGTGAGTTGGGACAAGATGAGTTTTTAAGGCCACCTTGACACACCATTGAATTAGATCCCACTTGGAGTCACCTCAGACCCCATATTCTCTTTCTCTCCTTGGGAACTACTGCAGATTCCTATCTCCCTCAACAGCATCCGTGGTGGCTGTGGTGGCAGGGTGGCCAGTAAGAACGGGCCCTATGGGTTTGGAGGCCTCACGCACACAACAGGAGCAACAGCAGGAGGGCAGGCAGGTTGACAGGGGCCATGGACGCCCTCTGCTGAAAGGCCAGAAATATGAGGATACCATGGGCATGGCCACTGGGGCCACGACGCATGCTGACACCAAGCAGTTACACTGCAGAGCAGCAGCAGCTACCCCCGTCAGTGTGCAGGGCTGGGAGCTGCTGCTCTCGGCCCTGTGACCCATCCTGACCACCCGCATTTTGAGAGCAGAATGCAAGGTTCCACAGCCTCCAAAACTTCCCCCCAGTCTCTGCCCGGAAGAGGCCAGAAAGGGCAGTAGCGAGGGGCAGCGGCTGGGCACCCCACGCCTCACGGGCAGTCCCTGCACCACGCCCCAGAGAAAGTTGACGAGCCAATAGAGAGTAGGGGACAGGCGTTCCATGAACTGCAGGTGTTTGGCTTGGGTGACATGCTCCCCAATGAGGACCAGAGTCAAAGCTGGCTGGGATGAAGGACATGGCGAAGACCGCGCAGAGAGAGACAAGTATGTCTACCGAGGAGGCCATCCTGGGGGTGGGGGCGCATGAGCGCGTGGGGCAGAACTGTGCATTCCATTGATAGGACCAAGGGCCACAGAGCTGGTCACTGGTTGGGGAGATGGCTCAAGCCATTTTGGGATGAGGGTGGCTGGGTCATCTGGCAAGGAGAAGTTGTACAAGGTTGATGTGACAAGGACATGTGGACCATTGGGGGAGACTGGAGCCTGACAATGTCCCATTACCCTGGCCTAGGGAGAGGACGGGGCATTTCTATTCTCCATTTATACAGCAAGAGTGTGCAGAATGCAAATCCAGCTCCTACCACCCCCAAATAACAGGGAAACCGAGGTGGGGGAGGACACGTAGGGCAGAGGGACTCACAGGGTGGCCTCAGACAGGTGCTCCTTGGTGAGGTTCAGAGGGTGGTTGAGTGTGTGGATACTGTGGGCACGGCAATTGGGCCTGGTGGCAGGTGGACATGGAGGAGCGCATTGTTGGCTCGGTTGACAAAGGCCACCATGGCATGCCAGCCCTGGTTGTTGAACCAGATCTGGAGTGGGGTCAGGGCTGAGGGGTCAGGGTGGCGAAGTCAGCCCTGCTCCCACCAGCACCTGCCCACTACCCCAGTTCCCACCTGGAGGCCGTCCTGAGCCCATGCTGTGAGGTCATTCAGGATGCGGTCAAGGGCCCCGCCAGGTTGGGAGCTTGGCAGCACTGGCTGCTCTTCCAGCGAGCGTCCCACCTCACGCCCCGAGGGCAGGCCCACATTTTGGTTCCCCAGGAGAAGCCCCCATACCTTTGGGGCAGTGAGGGCAGATAGGGGTAGGTGAGGACCAGAGAGGAAGGGGTGGAAAAGCCCACCAGTGGGCAGGGGGTGCAGAAGAGAACTCAAGGCAGGCGCTCCTCCTCACCTGATCTCATTCACCCATTTCTTAGTCTTCAGGCTGTGAGACAGACAGACGGAGACGTGAGGCAGAATGCAAGATGCTGGGGGGTCCGGTGAGACACAAAAAGGGGTTGGGCATGGAGGGCACTCAGGTGGCCTCTAACCTGGGCATCTACCCCGTAGAACAGCAGGGCACACTGAGTCTGACTACCACTCACCCCTGGAGCACCGGGCGCGGGTAGGTCTTGACCAGGAAGCCAGACAGGTTCCAGCCTGTCAGGTTCTGCACAATTTCGCCTGAGCCGGTCAGCACTTGAGGTGGTGGGGGGCCACCAGAGGTAGTGGCACAGCTGGGAAGCAGGCAGTGGGTGGCAGGCCAGCTGCACTGGCAGGCAGGGGATGCAGACTCCAGGGTGCCCCTGGCCAAGACCTCAGCCACATCTGTGGGAATCTTGGGCACCGAGAACTGGCAGGTGACGGGCTGCATGCGCTTGGATGCTTCGCAGGAGCCGGGCAGGGCTGTGTGCACCCAGCTTCCAGGGAGGCCGGAACGTGGAGGCTCTCAGATCCCAAGCAGGCATGGCAGGGTGCTCTGGGCACCCCTGAGGCCCAATGGCCAGAGCCCAGATAGGAAAGCCGAGGCCAGAGAAGGACCAGGGCCAGGCTAAGGGACTCCCCTCTGGGAGCTGTTCTGCAAGTGGCAGTTCTCCAATCCCATCTCCTCCAGCAGCGCCTACAGAAGGTGGGCATGTTTGGGGTCCTCTGGGGCACCTTCACTGTGCAGGGTGCAGGGTCAGGGCTGTGCCCATGGGCCGCTGGTCCTGTTGCCACCAGCCCTTCTCCTCTGCACCCACCCGAAGAAGGATACCTGGGCATTATACATGCTGGGAGTGAGCCACAGAGCTGGAGAGTACCCAAAGGGAGGCACGATGAAGCTGAATATCAGTGCCGGGCCCACAGATAGGGCGGGCAGCAGGATCTGAAGGACCGGCCATCAGCTGCTCTCCCCACCCAGCCTCCACGCTCATCACACCCTTCCTTCCTTGCTCCCACTTCACAGTTATCCCTGGCTCCCCAGTGCTTTCAATAAAGGTGTGCTGGGTGGAGGATATGCCCAGGGTCAGGCACGTGGGTTAGGCTACAATGAAGAAAAAGTACCCAGGGTCCCCCATGTGCCTTCCCTAGTGCCCATCCGCCCTTACCTGTGTGAACAGACCACGTGGCTGCAGTGGGCAAGCAGAAAGCACTTGAGAAGCAGGGCCCAGAACTGCTGGTAGGTCAGCATCAAACCCTGTACCCAGCCCACAACATCCAGCCGAGAGCCCTGCAGGGCCAGTGTCTCTGGGGCAGACCCAGCTGTAAGGGACGGAAGGGTCAGTGCTCACACTGGGGGAACTGAGAAGGGCCACAGGGTCACAGTGTCAGGATAGGGCAACTCACCCAGCTCCACGTCCTCCAGGGCTGACTCCTCTGGCAGAATCCTGAGCCCCGTGGTTATGTTTGGGTGAGTAATGGTGAGCTATCAACGGGTAGAGAGAGGCCACTCTGGATGGACCCGGGGGTGCAGGGGTCTCAGAGCAGCTGTTCCCCAAAGAAGGGGCATCAACATTTATAGAGCACCTATTGAATGCCCAGACCAAAGCAGTGTTATGTCCCTATTTTATGGGAGGGAAACTCGAAGAAAATACTTACCACCTGTCTACTGTGTACCAAAGTGAACTGGGGGCCACATTACCAATGCAGAGATGGGAACCATTTGGCCCTACATGGCTTTCCCTTTAAATAGATGTGCAAACTGAGGTCCAGGGGAAGGAAAGGGGTGGTGGCCACTCACAGTGTAGTTGACTTGCTGGTGCAGCTGTGGCCCAGGAAAGCAGTGATGTGGCCCTGGTAGAAGTTCAGGCAAGGCCCATACAGGGCAGGTGTTGGGTCGCCAGTAAGTGCTTGTCCAGGTGCCATATGGAGACCCCGGAAATCAGGCCAGAGCCTTGTCCACCAGCACGGGGGAAAGAGGGCAGTCCATGGTGGGAGCCCTTGAGCAGCTGTTAAAACCCCACCTGTGGAGTCAGGGAGCTGCTGGGTTACAGGCTATGGGAAGGTGGGGTACCCCATGGGCTTGGGGAGCTGGGGATGTCAGAGGCTGGGGTCCATGGGAACTTGGGTTTTGGAGGGGCCTGGAGGTCCAGCTGGGGAAGCAGCTACTAAGGCTTGTTTCCTCATCTTTTGGGTCCTGTTGGGCTGGGGGCAGGGTGGGACACCTGGAATGTCTAGGCCCAGACCAGTAGCAACTCTGAAGGGGATAGTTCCACAGTTCAGGGGTCCCATACCGGCCTGTGGGGAGCAGTGCTCAGTTATCCTTTGACCCCATTCCCCTGGAGTGTGCCATCTTCTGGCCACATACCTGGAATCAAGCATTCAGGTAGGCGGTGACTAGAAGACCCCACCCACCTTCCAGGCCATCCTCAAATGCAGCCACCCATGTCCTTGTGTGAGGAATCCCCACCCTCTTACCTAAGGCATCCTGGGTGAACCTGCCCCTCAGCCTAGCCTCCCTGGTGCAGGTGTGCACAATCAGGGAGCCCCTACTCATGGAGCCCCCCTGGGCACATGGCCTCCAGGTACTGAGTGGCGAGACCCTGGAGCGCAGCATCCAGCAGCAGAGGGCCAGAGACCTGAGGCTGGCTGAAGGCATCGGCTCATATTGTGCCACTGTGCGCCCTCGCCTTGCTCTTCCAGCAGCTCCAGGCTCTCGCAGCTGGAGCCAAACGCCACAGGTGACAGAATGCTCTGTGGGTGAGCGCAGCTTCAGGTCCTGCACTCCCCCAGCCCAGCTCTCACCATGACCACTTGGCCGCCCATGGGCAGCTGGTCCCACACAGTACATAGGACAGATAGAGCACGAAGTACACGAGGCCGCTGCAGGCAGCTGCCAGGTTGGCACGGAAGAAGGAGGCACCCAGCGAGAAGCTCTGGACCACCGTGGCCACAACAAAGGCCGCCAAGAACAGGAAGAGCACAACTGGGTGGCTATAGTGGAGGTCCCTGAGCTGCAGGAGGCAAAGGGAGCTCAGATCAGATGCCCAGATTGGCCTAGGAGTATGCACCCACACAAGGCTCCTCCTGCCTGTTATCCATCCCTGCATACTCTTGTGGCCTGGGAAGACCATGGCATGCCCACCTTGAGTACCATAATGAACAGTGCGGTGCTAAGAAGGAAGGTCCCTAGGCAGCTGAGGAACCAGCCCAGCCACAGCAGTGCCCTGAGTTCCATAGAGTGTATCGTGTAGGGCAGCCCTGTCTCGTTCTCATGCGCCACAGCCTCCGCTGTCAGTGGCCCCACAGATCCAGGCCAGAACCAGGAAGAATGGCAGTGACCAGCTTAGCACACACAGGAATCTGGGGCAGCAGAGGTGGATGCTGGAGACCCTGAGCAGCTCCCATCCGACACTGTGTTTCCTACCCCAAGATCCTAAGGCGCAGGCAGCCACAGACATCCTCCCACTCTTATCCTCGGACCCTTCATCCAGTCTCAGGGTTCCAGCTGTCAGCACAGGCCACATTTTCTGTGCACCAGACCTCATATCCTCCGAGTCCTTGCTCCTCCCTCTATAGGTCACAGGGAGTGGTCTACCTAAATTAGCAATTCACAGCTTTGACTGCGTTAATGTTCCAAAAGGAGCCCAAGTCCCACCTAAGGCCTGGGGTTTGCAGCCAGGGGAATGAGCGGGGAAGAGAGGCTGACACATCATTCACATGGCAAGCGTAGGGCATCTGCTGCAGATAGAGGCTGGCACGGGACACATTGCCACTGAGCACACTCACTGCTTCATGCTCCAGCAGGTCCTGCACGTACATGAGGCACCCCATACATAATGCAGATCTGTCAGGGGGTCAGCAGCCGGGCCCCAAAACCTGTGAGGGGCATAATGGTCAGCTGCAGGGGCTGACTGCAAACTCCAAGGGCCCTGTCCATCATAGTCTGAGGGCCATCCTCACCCGCAGGCTCAACTAGAGGCCTGGCCAGGGCTGCCACAAAATTGTCTCACACTCACTCCCATTTGTCACAGAAGCCAAAGTGTTGAGCCCATCCATCAAGCCCTTGAGCAGGCCCCTTAGGCAACCTAGGCCCCGCCCACAACGGGCCCTAATTGGTCTAGGGAATCTATCAGGCTCTGCCAGCTGGTCTCCACTGGCAGGATGTCCTGACCTCACTCATCACATTCTTGGCCCCACCACGTGGCCACACTCCCACCTGTCCCTGATCTTACTGGTTCTGATGACACTGTCAAGGTCCATGCAGATCTTGATACATAGATGGCCTGGGCCTGGGAGATACCCTGGGTGTGGGGAATCCTTGGGGTTCAGGATGACACCTGCCCAGGAGCGATGCTGGGCAATCAGCTCCAGAGCCTGCTCTGCCAAAGCTGCCTCCAAAGGTGCTGCCTCCAGCTGGTCCAGGGTAAGACACTGGAGAGGGTCAGAGGCACCCTGGTCCTGTCCTGGACCTCCAGGCTGAGTCTAACTTTCTCCTAGGAGCCCCAGGGCAGGGCTCCCTCCTCCAGTAGACCTCCCTCAGGACAGGCTGTCTCCCCACTCAAAAGAGTTTCCCAGTGGAAGGCCCCTCACCTCCACAGCATGGCCCAGTTTGCCCACCAGAAGCTCCACATCTGCACAGGCCTCCTGCCAGCTGTAGCTGCCACAGAAAGGCTCAGAGGGCCTCCACCTGGTGCTAGCCTCTGGGTCCTAGCTGCTTCTTTCCTTTGTCCTGAATTTGCAAGAGCTTCTGAGGAACAGGAGGGGAACGTAGGGGTCTGCATGGGGCATTCATTGTCTTGTCGTTCCTCTTCCCATCACTGGGGTCTGTCCTCAATATGGAGGCCACATCTCACCTCCACACTCTTGCCCAGGAGGCTCTCACTTGCCCTTTGCCCTAATTCTCAGCAGGGGGTAATGTGACTGGGGAGGCTGTGAGTAAACTCGCCACCCTCTATCCTGGGCCCACCTGCGGTATGACATTTGCATTGTCATTCATGAAGTTGAAGAGCTGGGGTCCCAGCACCCCCACACCTCCTGGACATCCTTCAAAAGGGCCAGGTCCTGGAAGGTTTGATTCACCTGGGGGAGACAGGAGCCCAGATCAATGCCATGTTCACCTCTCTTCTGGGGCCCCCGTGCACTTCTTTCTCCTCCATGTTGCTCCATCCTGTGCCTCTGAGCAATGAATGGCACAGGTCTCTTCGAGCCTTCTCCTGGGCCTGGCCCTCCTCCCCTGAACTGAGGGAAGGATTAGGGACTGGAGACCCCCTTCCGCCTCCACCTGTGCCATGAGCTGCCAAGTGAGGTGCAAACAGCAGTTTCCTCAAGACCAGCAGCTTCAGATGCCTGTCCGGAGCAAGGGGGACAGTGGGTGCGTGTCCAGGGCCCCCATCAGCTCAGCACAGGCAGGGCCGGGTTGGAGGCGCCATGAGGCATGCCTCCATACCCACCAGCCCAATTCCCAATTGGGAAACTGAAAGGACAAGAAAAGCCTCTTTCAGGTCCTCTTTACCAGGGCTAGCTATCTCTCTTTCCTTAAGTCTGTCAGGCATAATTAACTGTTGTTTCTCTGAGCCTCTGTTCTCAACACAGCATCTGCCAGGAACCAGGAGACCCTGGGGACAGAGAGAGGGCAGGGTGCTGGAGCTCCACAGGCACCCCTGGAACCCACAGCAGCGCTTGCTCACAGGGAGTACTTAAAGGTGCTGAGGATGCCTGGCTCCTCACTGGGCATGCGCTGCAGGGAGCAGGTGTTGTTCATATTACAGATGAGATCCTGGAGGAAGGGTATGGTGCCCGCAGAGAGCAGTGGCTTGTTGAGGAAGTGTCCTGAGGGGATGCCAGGTGTTGCAGGCCTTGACAGAGTCCTCACCATGATCCCACCCTCTGCCCACTCTCAGCCATTTATTGGTTGCTGGGGACTCTGCTCTCTGGCATTTGCTCACTGGGGCCCTGTGCACAGGGCGACCCCTTGCCTCCCTCGCTATACAAAGTACCTGGACCCTGCAGGGGCTTACATTCAAACTGCCCCAATGGGGGGTGGGAATGGCAGACGGCCACCAGAATGAAAAGAAAGAGGTCACAACTCCACCAGGAGCTAGATCTGGGAGAGACAGAACAAGCAGGATAGTGAGGAACAGTTGGGGGAGGGGTGCGGGGTGTGCCTGGGACGGGACGGGCCAACCCTGTCCCAAACGCCCAGACATTTACTGGCTGTCTCCTGCGCTGCAGGAAATTCTTCCAAAGCAACAGTATCAGCTGCGCCGAGAAGGCCCTTATGGGAATAGACAGGAGACAGCACGAAGGAGCCAGGCTGAGGAAGTGCTGTGCAGCTGCGGGCAACTTCCTGTCCCTCTCGGAACTTCATTCCTTTATCCCCTTGCGCACAATTTCTGAACATTCTGCTTAGAGCCAAACAGTAGGCTCTTACTAAAGTGCTTACTCCGCTGTGGTGCAGTAAGCCAATGGGACCACTTCCTGAAGCAGGCCTTGAATCCCTTGAATCTGATTGGATGCCAGGGCTGTCGCTCCCTGTAATGAGTCAAGGGTGCAAACACCTAGCAACTGAATTTTCAGGGGGCGGGGTCTCGGTTTAACTCTCTTATCACCAGGCTTTACCCTAAGCCCACCTGGGGGCCTGCAGACCCTGGTTCCCACCCTCATCCCTGGCAGCGGCGGAAGGATCTCCGTTTCCCCCGCTCCCCGCTCTTCCTCAATAATAATAAATATTTACTGTGCTGAACATTTTACACGCCTGGCTGGAAGAAGGGCCAACTGAAGAGCCCAAAGAAACAAGTAGTTATCCAGCTGGAGGCGGGACCTCAGCCCTACCTATCTCTCAATTATTATTTATCGCTCAGAGGGCCCCCAAGATCCAGAAAATAGGTTAGGAGAAGGGACAACGATGGAAATTTCTGGAACCAGCGATTCCTGACCCCGTACCTTGCTTGTAATTGTCCAGCTGTGACCCACTTAATTATTGTACAGATGGGGAAACTGAGGTCACTAGGGGGACAGGGAGTTGCCACACTCACATACAAAAGGGGACCCTGGGCCCCCGACCTCCACTCCAGAACTCTCCTTTATGTAAAGTGGGATCTGGGGGAGCGGTCTCAGTTTTTCTATTTGTAAAACTGGGGCACAGGTTTCGGAGGGGTTCTAACGAGGAAAGGGGCTGCAGGTGTACGTTGGTAAAGCCCGTCTCAGGTAAGTTTAAACTTGCCCTTGAAAATTAGTGGCCAATTCTGCCGCCCACCCAATACTCACCCGCAGGGAGCCAAGGTGAGTGAGAGTCTGGACCTGGCTCGCACCCCCTAATTCCCAGGGAAATTGCCTCTGTCCCACTCATCCCCACACCTGCATCCTCTTGGGGAACCTCGTCTCTCTCTAGGACCCTGTCGCTGTTCCAGCCACCAGCGCTAGCAGCCGTCCTAGCGCTTTGACAGCGGCGGGGAAGCGCGGCCCCTTTAAGAAAGGACTCCAAGCGGGCGCCGCGCCCCTGCCGCTGACGGCTCCTGTGTTCCGCGCCCGGGCAGCGCCAGGGCCTGTCCCCGCCAACTGCTATTGGATGCTGGACCACCACTCAAAAGCTTGGGGCCAGCCGGAGACGCGTGCACAGAGAAAATAGGTGGGGTCACAGCAGGGCCGTGCCAAACTGGTTTTCTTAAAGGGACCGCTCACCTCTTTGCTGCATCCTAGTGAGGTGGCAGGGCGGCAGCCTTGCTCAATCCCGGCCGGCCCCCGCCCACGCCGGCCCGGCTGTTTTCCCACGTCTGAGCCTCCTGCAATACCGCAGCTCCCGGTAGCAAGAGGCCCCTTTCTCCCCACTTTCCCCTGTGAGATCCGGGTCCTAGCTATACTCACCCCATTACCCTGAGACTGTTATTTGTCCATCAGGAAAACGGGGTTTCGACTATTCATCATTCATTGCACAAACAATCCTTGGTATCTAGAGTGATACAGGAGATGGCAGAAAGGGAAAAGGGCCCCCAACATTCTAAGATTAGAGTTTTGGGTCCTAAAGGCCACCCGACTTTTAAGGAAAATCTCCAGATCTGTTTCCTGCTCCATTAAAGTGGGTGTTTCACAAGATCCTGAAGATGAAACAAGAGTATGGATCCACAGCTCTGAAGGTGCTGGGAAGGGTGAGTGGTGTAGGGGAGGGCTCTATGGAAGGTGATTTTGTTGTTGGGGTTTGGTGGGATGAATAGGAGTTTGTCAGGGAGGGAACTCCAGGCAAGGTGACTGCACAAGCCAAGGCACGGAGGCTGGATGAGGGAGTGCTGGGTGGAGCACCAGCTGTTAGTATGGCAGGTGAGGGATTGCATTGAGGCCCCACCTCCTCCCCCATCCCAGATCCTGGCCCTCAAGTAATTTCTTCAACCCAGACTGGTCTGTGCCCTGGGCGTCAGCTTCTCTCTCCCCGAAGACAGCTGTGAGTACCAGATATTTGTCACACTGCCCCACCCTCAGGACCCCAGAAGTGATTCAAGCAAACACCTCCCCAAGGCTGTCCCTGACACCAACTCTCCCAGCACTTTCTTTTGCTAAAAAGGTTTTTATTGTCTTTGGTCCACAGTTGGTATTTCACATTATCTCTTGTTCCCAGGGCTCCCGGGTGGGGTTGGTCCCAGAGAGGGCCTCCTGGTGGGGGGTCCCTGTGCAGTACTTCACTGGGGAGAAGGGACTAGTATGGAAGGTGGGGGGGTCTGGCGTTGCCTCAAACACTCAGAACTCCACTGTCCTGTCTTGGCCTTGGTTTCCTCACCAGGCCCCTGGAGAAACTCAGTCCCTCACGATGCCTAAAATATCTGGGGACTGTGGCCTGGCCCTCTCCCAGGGGACTTCCTTCTCAGCACTACTCCCCCCCACCATACACCCCCCCAAAAATTACTTTTGTTTTGTTAAAAGCGCCTGAAACTTTTGTGGGTACAGAAACCACAAACTGATCAGCAGAGAAAAGGGAAGGGCAGAAACAACCGGAAGCCATTTGGGGCCAGTTTCCCTCCCTGCACAGGTTTCTTCCGCACCGCGCCCCCCAGCCTGGCCCAAAGCCTGCTGGGAAATTTGCTACCTAGATGTGCCCTGGCAGGGACCCCCCACCCCCACCCCACAAGCATCTGGATCTCGCCTTCATAGGCCCTCAGCTGGAAGCACTTGAACACATAGAAAAACAAGATGAAGACACAGAAAAACCTAAAATCTCAGGTGGGGTGATGATAGAGGGAGACACCCCACAAATGGGGCCTCAGTAGCCTGCCTCCTCTTGGTAGTAGGGGGGGTACTCTGGGGCCTTCCCTGGGCTGGGGTAGTCGCCTGCTGACTCTGGAGCCCCATCGGCCGCTGGGCCTTGTGGGCAGTACTTGGGGTCGTATATCTGCCGGCCCAAGCCAAAGACCTGGCCACTCTGGTTGGCGCCCTGCGTGTAGCCCATCTGCAGAGACATGGATGAATTGTCACACTTGTCGGTCCCCAACTTGGTGTCATAGATGTGCCGCCGGGTCCCAGGAGCTGTCATGCCCACCTAAAGAGGGAGGAGATAGTGTCAGATGGAAGGGATGAGGGGGAAATGTTAGGCCCTCAAATTTCCACATGATTTCCCATTTCCCTTTATAGTCACAGTGCAAACTCCCATGCATCCTCTAACCCCTGCTTAGATGCCCTCTTTGCTGAGTTGAATTTATTACTAGTGACCATCTCCTTTGGCAATAGGGATGTTTGGGTCCCGTTCTCCCTGCCAGCCAGGAAGATTCCCAGGTTGGAGCTGAGGTCTCCCGAAAACATGAGTGCTGCAAAGCCACCTTCACACTACTACATGTGACACAGCAGGAAAAGTGAGAATCATAGAATCTAAAAATTTCAGAGTTCACTGGGCCTTGGAGCAATCCCTTGAGGGAAACTGAGGCACAAAGCTGGGTAGAAACTTCCCTGAGGATGTACAGAAAGCTGAGGCAGAGACAGAGAAGGCAGGAGGGAAGCCCAGAGTGGGGTTGTTAAGGGAGAACAAGGATTTTGGCTAGGTGGGGTGGGGTGGGGGCCTGAGGGGGACTGGGTGAGGCCCACCTGGCTGGCACACTTGTTGGTACCCATTTGGAGGCTGATGGTTGAGTGGTCCATGGGTGGCAGGATATGGTTCTTGGGATCATACAGATGTCTTCTCGTGCCATATGCCGTCATGCCTGATTGGCTGGCACACTTGTTGGTGCCCATCTGCAGGGACGTAGGCAGGACAGGTCAGGCTGCCCCAAACTCAAGGGGGCACTGAGCAGGACAGGGCCTGGGTCCCGGCAGAATCCCCTCCTCCCCCAGTGGGCCCTGGTGCCCCACCTGGAGCCCAATGACACACTGGCCCGCCTTCATGGTAGCATCGTCAAAATTCCGCTCCTGCTTTTCTGAGTACTTGATGCCAATGTCCACACCACTCTGCAGCCCCTTTGTCTTGGCCTGGAGGGAAGAAGGACTGGGAGTATCAGGGAGGGGCAGCTTGGAGCCTTGAGCCAGGCCCAGAGTGTGTGACCCTGGAGGAGATAGAGGGATTGGGCTGCAACCTGCCCCCTTTGCCTGCTGCCCAATGCCTCAGGCCTCAGAGGTCCTGTTGGCCCCCAACCTTCCAGTTGCTCAGGCCAAGAATTTTGGGGGTTTCCTTGCTGCCCCTCTCTCTCATTTTCCATCACCTTCTACCCAACCCTCACCATTGCCTGTTGAGGACCTGCCCACATCTCTTGCTTGGACACCTGCTCCTGGCTCCTCCCTGGTTTCCCCACCCCCAATCCTTATGGGGCAGCCACAGGTGGCTCCTGAAAACACCATTCAGAACACAATTCCTGACATGACAACCTCCTCCTTATTCCCACATTAGGGTCTTGCTGTTTTTTCCTCTGGAAAAACTGTTCCAACCTACCCCGGTCTTGGTTAAAGGGTCACCGGACCCTACGCATCGGTCTAATTCTTTATTCTCCCTCCAGGCATGTCTCACAATGTACGACTTATTTATAACTTATTAAAAAGTGACTTGAAGAGGGAGCCCTCATGTAAACTCTGGACTCTGGGTGCTGATGAGGTGTGGATGGACATTTATTAACGGTAACAAATGGTTCAAACTCCGATGAGGATGTGGGCAGAGGGCATATGGGAACTCTCTGTAGCTTCCTCTCAGTTTTGCTGTGAACCTAAAACTGCTCTAAAATGTAATGTGTTTTTTTAAAATTAAAAAAAAAAGGTTTATTTATTTTTCTGCTTCCTCCATCAGACTGTGAGCCCATGAAGGGGCGAACTGTGTCTCTCCTGTTTACTGTTGAGTCCAGAGTGCCTGGCGCCTTGTGAGTGCTCAGAAATATTAGCCAAGGAATAAATGAGAGCGTATGTAAGTCTGCATCAACTTTGCTGTGTGGCTTTGGGTAACTTGCTGCCCCTCTCTGAGCCTTACCTTCCCTGCCAGAGCCAGAAGAGACACCTGCACCTGTGTCATGTTGCCACTCTCAAACAAGTCATTGGCCTCAAACAGGTCCACGGAGTTCATGCCATAGCTGACCATGGCCTTGATGAAGTTGGAGAGGTTTTCTAGCTGGGAGAAGGCAGGAGAGGGGCTGTAAGGGTACCTTGGGCTGCCCACAGGTTTGACGGGGTCCCCCAACCCGGTACTTGCTCCACCCTCCAGCCCCTCACCTGATGCCAATTTTGCATGGAGCGGTTGATCTTAGGGACCGAGCCGGGCTGCAGCTTATTCATGAGTCTGGAGGGAGACACATGGGTGCGGAGGAAACGGGAATCTCTATCAACATAGGTAAACTCGAACCTCACAGACCCAAGAGGCTAATTCTAACCTTGGCCACCTTCCTGGGCAACCTCACTGCCTCTTTCTGGGTCTTAGTTTCACCTCTTGCAATTTCATCTTCACCCACAAAGCAAAGATGCTAAAGAGTGACAATAATGAGTATTGTGAGAATAAGCCCTGATTTCTGGGAGCGAATCCAGGAATTTCCATTCATATGTTTAACGTGCAAAACATGGAATGTTTTAACTACAGTCAAATAGGATACAGCACAGAAAGGCCCCCCAGAAATCTTAGAGGCTCTCCCATGAAGGGACGGTCATAAGGCAAGAATGTCCCCTGTTAGAGATCCTTGACAAAGCAATACAACGAGAGAGAGAGAGAGAGAGAGAGAGAGAGAGAGAGAGAGACCCAAGACTCATTGAGGAAAAAGCAAGCAGGCTTCAAAAGGCACAAGAAGAATGATCATATTGTGCAGGACAATCAGTGATGAGCATGTGCCAACGTCCACACTCACGTGCACAGGATAATCCCGTCCTTCAGACCCTTCTGGAAGTCAGAACCAATAGACAGTCCTGTGAGTCCCTCAATCCAGCTGCGGAGTTCTGCCTCCTTCTGAGGGTCATATTTGGATAGGAGCTGGAGGAGCAGAAGGTACAGGGTTGGGGTGAAAACACACCCAGCAGAAGTTCCCTGAAGCTCCAGATGGGGCGAGGCTGGTGGCTCCATGGGAAGAAGAGACAGAGAGGTCTGGAGGACCCCACACTGCAGAGCCAACCCTCCCCTTTTCCCATCAGCAGTGAAACTCATGGGCAGATAAACCGTACTCCGTGAACACACTCATCTCTCACTGACAAACATCAGCTCTAATCCACTTCCAATGATGCCAAACACTTCATGGCAGCCAACATGGTCCCTGCAGATCTACTCTCCAACCCATGCCCTCCTCATTTCCTTGCTCTACCTGCACAAGAAACAGACCCTTCTGTTTCTACTTCCTGTCTCTGTGGATTTACCCATTCTGGACAATTCACATAAATGGAATCATGCTATGTGTGGCCTTTTGTGTCTGGCTTCTCTCATTATGTTTTCATGGCTAGGTTCCTGCCTTCCATACAGTCACAACTGGAAGGTCACCTCCTTAGCCATGACAACTCTCCCTGACCCTGCCTTACTTTCCCTCTAGCTTTTATCTCCACCTTCTGTTATGATCCAGCTCCTGGCTTATGATCCATTCCCCCTCGGGCTTTGCCATCCAGCTCAGTGCTGTCTCTGGATAAAAGTGCTCCTGGTCCCCCATCAATGCACACCCATTGACCATAAGCGCGCGCGCACACACACTCCCAATTACCCATTTCAGAGCACCAAAAGCTAAGAAAATCAGAATGGCTAGCACCCAGGGAAGCCCCCAAAAGTCAGGGAGACCGGGGCCAGTATGGGCAGAGTCAGTCAGCTCCAGGGCAGCTCCTTGGGGTTGATAAGAAGCTGAGTCCAGCCCCCACTCAGGACCAGACTATGACACTCAGTGCATTTGCTGCTTCAGATCCCCTGCGTACCTTTGCTCACAGATCCCAGCTTGGGAGGCCCTTTTCCTCTCCTTCCATTGCCAAGGGAACTGAGACCTTTTGCAGACCTAATTTCTACTCCCAGCTCTGCCCCCAACTCCTCCACAACTGTGAACAGTTCTCTTCCCCATGCCTCAGTTTCCTCATCTATGTTTGGAATCGTTTGCATAGGGGCCTCCTGAATTCTGCTCCCCCTCCCTCCCCTCCTCCTGGCCATTGCATGTAAATCCTTGTGACATAGGATCACGGCTGAGCCGCCCAGGGCTCAGGGGAGACAAAGGCAAGAGGCTGGCCAGTTAACCCAATCTGCTTGGCCCACCCCCTCGAGCTGCAATCTCCTGGTTCCCATGGCCGGGGAAGCAGCCCTGCCCAGATGAAGCTTTGTCCAGCCTGAGGAATAAGCAGGGTCATGTCCTGATCGTTGAATTTGAGGCAGATGGGCTGGTCTGGATGCCTGGCAAGCCTGCCCAGCCTGCCCAGCTGGGCCCCGTCCCTGACGGCTCGAAAGGGCCAGGGTCCTGGGCAGAGGCGTCTGGCCCCCCCCACCGTGGCCTGAAGCATTCCTCATCACCACAAACTGCCAGGAATGCAGCCACCGCCTCCTGAGAAATCTGCTAAATCGGGACCAGCTGTTCCCAATGGTCTAAACCCCGGCAACCCAGCCCAGAATCGAGTGGCCATGGCTGCTCCAGAAGGACACACTGGGCATCTGCCTGCCTCAGGCCATCCAGCTGGGGGTAAACTGAGGCACAGGGGCCAGGCAGTCTCTGGGTCTTCCATCGTACGCAGCTGGAAAAGTGAGTGGGGGCATGGGCCCAGAGACCTGGAAAGCAGGCCCCTGAGTGACCTTGGTAGCTGGTAGGTCCCCCGCCCACACTCCAAACCTGCAAACTGAAATGGCTTCAAGGAGCCTCTGAGCTCACCCGTGGTGCAGGTATCAACCTGCCCCCATCTTACTCCATCTCTGGAAGCTACCTGGCTCTCAACCACTTCCTGTTGCCCAGGGTTAAATGTAGAGTCCAGGAAGACCAGTAGCCACCAGGCACTGGATGCAGCAGGTCTCGTTCCAGTCCTGACTCCGCCACTCTCACGTGGTGTGGTCCTGGGCCGCTCTGAGCCCCATGTGCAAACTGGAGCCCTTAAACCGCCTTTGTGCTGTGCAGGGCACCATGCTCTGCGCCTGCACAGACAGCACGTCAACATTCAATATTCACCCTGTGAGACTGTTGCGGGAGGGGGAAATCGTGCATTTAACAGGGGTCCGGAGCCTGCCAAGTGACCATACTCTGTCCTTGGATTCCTAAGCCTCAGTCTCTCCTTTTGTGAAAGGGGTGAAGGGAGGCTCCAAGGAGCCCACAGGTGGTGATGCAGAATTCTCCCCGCCGTCCACAGACCCTGGGGTACCCACCACAGGTGCCTATCTGGAGATGGCAGGGCTGTGCCCTCAGCATGCCCAGGCAGGCTCCCTTCCAAGGCCACATTCCCAGATGTCTGGTGGAAGGATGTGGGGGGGTTGTGCAGGAATGGCAACGCCCCCCTCAGCTGGAAGAGCCCTTGCTTATCAGGCCTGAGACCTCCTCCTGGGTCTGGGATCACCCCATGCTTCCTCTTCCCTAGGATGGGACCTGCTGTGTGACCCTCCAAAAGTGTCTGCCCCTCTCTGACCCAGAACCACAAAGTTGTCTTAAAAAGTGTCTCCTGCAGCTCCACCGCATGTTTACAGGGTACAAAACCCACACATTTTAGGGTCATATTCAGGGGACTCAGGAGTCCTATGGGATCACTTTGCTGTTCCTTTGTCAGATGGAGACAAAGAGAACATACAAGGGAACAGCCCAGGCAGGCTGCCTCCTCTCCAACTTCCCCTTGGGGCTCCCCCTCCCCAGGTGTAGGAGGTTGGGAAATTCCTCCGGGGGGGGGTGCCCACACACTAATTAAAAATAAAAACAAAACAATAACACCTGGCCCACCCCTTCTCCTTAAGTGGCCCCAAAAGCAGAAGTGTGGCCAGGGGATGAGGAGGGGGTTCCTGGGGTCCTCTCAGACCCGCAAGTTATTCTCAGGCCTTGAAGTGCTGAAGGGGCCCAGGCTATGGGGTTCTCGTAGGGGAGGGTTGCGGGGCAGGGCTGGGGAAAGGGTCAGATCCAACCACTCGTAGCTGCCGTGGCGGTGCCGAATCGCGGACCTCACTGCTCCCCCAGAGTTCAAGAAGTCTCGATGGGCGCCCCCAAAATCGCAGATGTTGGGGAGAAGAGCCACTCTCATCCCAGGTCTCAGAGCTACTGCGCCCCAGACATCGGGGAGCCTGGCGGGGCGCCCAACCCTGCAGAAGTCCGAGGGCACAGGAACTCCGAGGGTACGGGAACTCCGAGGTGGGGACCGGGGGCGCCCCTCACTCACCCGGTTCTTGACTTCGGCCGAAAGCCCATACGAGGGCCCCTTGTTGAACTGCGTTGAGCTCATTTCGGCGGCGGCGGCGGCGGGACAGACGGTCCGCGGGGTGAGACGGCCGTGGACTCGCGGGTCCGGGCCCCGCCCCCGCCGGTGATTGGCCCCCGGCGCACATGTCCTTATAAGGCCGGGATGCGCCGGATTCCTTCGGCCGCGGACTTCCTGAACCCCTTCAGCTCCCTCGGACCCCTCCCCAGCGGAGCGCCTTATCCCTAGAGGCCCGGAGGGAAACTGAGGCAAGGAAGGGCAGGGACTCTGGACTATCAAGACATGGCACACCTACCCTGTCCCTCCCGGGGGCCTCTAAGTGGCTCTCTCGCCCTTTCTGGGTCTGTTTCCCCTTCTGCTCGGCGATGGAAAACGGGGAATTGTTGAGTGGGACTCTAATTCCCTTGGGGCCCGAATGAGTACTCCTCCCTGCCATTTAGAGACACCTCGCAGCTTAGCCTCACCCTCCATCCAGTAACTACCGTAGCTCGGTGGTGGACAAGGAGCTAGAGGAGTCCTCAGAGGACGGGGCCACTGGAGCTAGGGCTCTGATGGATGATTAGGAGTTTGCTAGTCTAAAAGGGATTATTGTCCCTGGCAGAACAAAAGGCGGTAAGACCTAGGAAGACGGTCAATGGTTGAAAGGATGTAGAGATCAACCAGAGAGATTGGGAGAGGGAGGATGAGAAGTGACCTTGAACTCTGGGCTGAGGAATGATGGGGATGGGGATGTGTATGAAACAGCACAGTTGAAGCCAGGAGGTGCCTTGGGGTTAGGGCTGAGGCTACTAAGCATACTAGGGCAGGCCCACAGTTGGCACTCAATAGGTGATGTCTACTTGTACGGATAAATCAATAAATTAATAAATAATAGAATAAATTAATTCACTTATTCAGTAATGTGTTCATTTATTAATTCATTCACATACCTATTCACTCATCAAAAGCTCCGTGGGCCAGTCCCTTGCTAGGCAATGCTGGCTCCCAGGAGAACTTAGCTCTTGCCCTGCCTATCCCTGAGAAGACAGAGCCAGGCACAGAGCACGTACAGGACAGAAAAAGAGGCTGGGGTGCAGGAACCTGGAAGGGAAGTGGGGGCTCTGCTTGAAAGATCAAGGAAAGCTGCACTTAGAGGAGACATGAGGTGGGGTTTTGAAGCATATATAGGAGTTTGACATATTTGACAAATAGCTGGTGCGACTCTGTGAAGGCTCAGAAATGACTCACTGCTGCCTCTTCCCTGGAGAGCATGGATCCCTGATGCCCCACCTCTCAATGTCTATTTTCTTTTTCTCTGCCTGGCATTCTCCCGTTCCGTCTATCTGAAGACTGCTTTCTTCAAGTCCTACCTGGAGGGTTTTGGGTGAGTCCCCTCCCTTTTGGGTCTTTTTCTCGTCATCTGTGAAGTGGGGACCAGTGGGCTATTGGGGGGCAGGGTGCAGATCAACAATGAAACAGTGCAGCTCTGAGTATCGGAACAGGGCTGTTTCTTGGTGCCTAGGTGGGAGCTGTGAGGGTGGTAGGGACATGGCGTGGGTGGTCAGGTGGGTCCTATTGGGACAGGAGGTGGACCCCGGGGCACTTGGAGGCCAGCCTGCAGTGGTCCATGGCTGCTGGCAACATGGCCATAGGTCTTCTTGCCATGCCCCAGGCCCTGGTGCTTGTCCGGTGGGCCACCAGCTACTCCCTAGGGACACCATTTGAATTCGGGGTCTCTTATACGTTGCATATGACTCCCACCTATACCTGCAGCCCTGTGTCCACCCCAAGCCAGTTCTGCATACTAATACTAATACTAATACTAAGCATACTAATAGGAGAGCAGCCTTCCTGTGTTCCAGAACGCTGGGTCCTCCCACAGCATTTCTATCAAGAAGGGCTGTGGGGCCTTTGCAGGGATAGGCAGGAGCTAAAACAGAAACAAGAAGACTGAGCCTGAATGGTTGCAAACCCTGGAACCACCCGCCACCTCTCCTGCTGGAGACCCCAGCAGGCCCCGCAGCGCTGCCCAGCTTCAGTCTCCTATCTGTGAAACAAACTACTTCCCAGGAAATGATGTTCACCAGCACCCAGAATAACACCCGGGACACCATAAATGCCACATAAGAGCTGGAAAACTCGAATCCTGGCACGCAGACCGATGCTGATCAACAGGACTGAGAGGGCAGAGGTGCCCTACTAGGCACAGTTTACCCCTGCAGCCTCTGGCCACACATGGCTACTGAGCACTTCGAGTGTGGCTGATTTTAATTAATTCCAATTTAAGATGAGCAACTGACACTGGATCAGTTTTGGGAAAATGTCTGAATCTATTTGAAACAACTTGGGAAGGAATGTGTGCATTTTCCTTTTCTGAGTAAGTTTTACCAAATCTAGATACAGGTGAGTATTTCCCAGGCCATCTGAGTGTACAAATTGAGTTGGGCTGTGAGTGGCAAACAAGACAGATTTCAAAGGCGTGGTCCAGAAATAGGTGTCACATGCCTCATTCATCATTTTTCATATTGATTACATGCTGAAATGATGTTTCTGATATATAGTTATGTGAAACATGTTACCAAAACTGCTCTTAGTTCTTTGAACATGACTACTAGAAAGTTGAAAATTATGTGTGTGGTTTGTCTTATATTTCTACTGGCAAGGGCTGTTCTGGACCCGTGGACCAAATCCAGACACTGTATTTTTGTTTGTTTGTTTGTTTTTGGTGTGGCCCATGAGCTAAGAATGGTCTTTACATTTTTAAGTGGTTGAAAAGAATTTTTTAAAATGCTATTAAACAAAACTTGGAAGTCACAAAATATTTAAATTTTGGTGTCCAAAGTTTCATTGGTGGCCAGCTCTTTGGCTTACTGGCTGTTAACCTTCAAGCATTAACCATTACTGCGGGGCTGGGTAGTCTCTGGGCTACAGAGCTGAAAACACTGGCTCTCTGGTATTTTACAAAAAACAGTTTGCTGGCCCTTGGTCTAGCCCTTCAGTCTCTCAGAACCCTAGAAATCCAGACTCACACCTCCCAGAGTTTAAAATCCCAGTGTTCCAGAAGCTTATAGTATTTATACACCCATACTTCAAAGATATTGTAGGGTCAGGTCCAGACCACTGTAATAAAGTGAGTATTAAAATAAGGCAGGTTGTAACCTTTTTGCTGGTGGTCTTGCTTTCTATTTGTAAAAACTGCAACACCTATGAAGCACAAGGAATAAAGTACAATAAAATAGGATGTGCCTGTAACTCAGGGACTTCTACCCAAGGACCTCAGATCAATGAAATGGTAAGATTCTGTGCAGTTCTCCAACTGCAGTAACCCCGCCTGGGACCCTGGGTTCAAATCATGACTGCCCACCTGGCTGTGTGACCTTCCACAATTACAGTCCACCTCTCTGCGCCTCCCTCTCCTGTCTGTAAAGCACCTACAGCCCTTAGGGCTGACATCTTGGATCCATGTGCGTAAACCCTGAGATAAGAGTTGTTCAGTCAACACGTGTCAAAATCTTAGGGATTTTGGCCTCCACCAGGGGAACCTGGCAGGGAGATCCTGAGCTTCTGTAGCTGCCCTGTGCCCTTGACCCCATGGCACCCACCAATTCATCCAGGATGACTCCTGGGGAGACTTCAGGGGCTGGAGGACCTGAGGTTACAGGGGCCTTGAGTGCTGGGCAGAGTCTGAACCTAGGTGTCTTGGTGGCCAGGCAGAGCGGGGCTGTGGGTGCAGTGAGGGCTCTGGGGCCCCTTTCTGGCAGCCACCTCTGCCGCAATCCTCTCCCTGCAGGGTCTGGGCCCTGAGTGGGATGCCAGAGGGTCAAGGTAGGACCCAGGGCTTTGGGCGCCTCCTGGGAGCTTCAGACGCTCCCCTTGCTCTCTGCAGAGTCACTGTTTACTCCTGGACACTATGGTGGAAGAAGCATGATGCAGGAAAACAAAAAAAGTAACAATAATCTCAGCCTTTTAACTCAGGTCAGATTCTGCCATGTTTCTCCATTGCCCTCTCAACATAAGTGTTCTCCAGCGCCCCGTGCTCTGCTCAGGGCACAGGGGTCTTCTCCTTGCTCTGCCTCAGAGCCTTTGCTTCGGCTGTGCCCTCTGTCTGACATTCTTTCTACCTGGTTCCTTCACTATCCTCCTTCCAGCCCCTACTGGAGGGTCACCTGCTCGGTGTCCCCTCCACCAAGGCCCATGTAACTCTCAACCTGACCCAGCCCAGCTATCACCCAACGTTCCCCTCCCCTCCGGTCCACACACACATGCATAGCATCCTCCGAAATCCAGCCCAGCTTCTAACTTCCCTGTGGTCCCCAGAAGTGTGGCATGTTGCTCAGTCCTCCTTTATTTCTTGTGGTTTAGGTTTAGAACGGTCTATCCCAGCCTGTCCTTTTCCTGAGGGCGACTCTCCGAGGAGGCCAGGCAGTTGTCCAGTGGTTGGCTGCACGTTTTGGATGCATGATGAAGTCGCACTGGCATCATGGGTCCCGTGTATCTGTAATGTGAGAGTGAGCACTAGAATGCTGCAGCCTGGTACAGCAGCCGCCCACCACGTGTTGCTATTTCAATGTAACTTACATTGGTAAAAATTAACTAAGTTTAAAATTATGCTCCTTGGCCACCCTGGCCACATTTCCCTGCTCAGGAGCCCGTCCGGATGATGGATTGGGTATGGCTCAACATAACAGAGACCCACAGCGCCTGTCACAATGGGGCCGGAGTGCTCCCCAGGTCAAGGGGATGAAGTCAGCCTGTCTTCTCCATGGGAAAAGATGATGGTTTTTTTTTTTCCTCCCTTCGCAATTAACAAGTGATCAGTATGGGGCGGGGTGGGGGGGTGAGGGAGGGGAAGGGGGATGATCCATAATAATTTACAGAGTGTACTTTATTGAGCACCTACTGCATGTCAGGCCCCATGCAGAGCATTTTCTATGAAACAGGAAGAGACTGACTTCAGCCTCCTGACTGTGGTAGCACAGGTTTGGGTGTGTCTGTCCACTCAGGGTGTTGGGCTCCCAGGATTATGAAATCCAGCAGGCAGGTTTGAAAGGTTTCTCCTCAGCCTCTGCGTCACAGCTGAAGTCACA